TAACCAACTGGAAGAGATCCATATTTGTTCCCATTCCAAAGAAAGGTGACTCAAGAGAATGAGGAAATTACTGGATATTATCATTCATATCACACATAAGAATAATTTTGCTGAAGAAAAAAATTTAATGGCTGTAACAGTACATCAACAGGGAGCTGTCAGAAACTCAAGCTGGATTCAAATGAGGACATGGAGCAAGGGTATTATTGCTGACACCAGATGGATCTTGTTTAGCTGAAAGCAGAGAATACTTACGTGAAAATGTCTCTTTGTATTTTATTGACTCTGCAAAGGCATGTGGATCATAACAAACTAAAGATAACATTTTGAAGAATGGGAATTAGTTGTGTTCGAGTGGAACCTGTCCACGAAACAAGAGGCAGTTGTTCAAATAGAACAAGGGGACACTGCATGGTTTAAACCAAGAAAGGTGTGTGTCTCTGTTGTATTCATTCATCATATTTATTCAATCTGTATGCTGAGCAAATAATCAGAGAAGCTGGATTATATAAAGAAAAATGGGTATCAGGAATGGAAGAAGGCTCCTTAGCAACCTGTCATAGGCAGATGACACAACCTTTGTTTGCTGAAATGAAGAGGACTTGAAGCACTTGCAGATGAAGATCAAAGAATGCAGTCTTCAGTATGGATTACAACTCAATGTAAAGAAAACAAAATGTATCACAAATGAACCAATAAACAGCATCATAATAAACGGGGGAAAAGATTGAAGTTGTCAAGGATTTCATTTTACTTGGATTAGCAATCAACGTTCCGGGGCACAGCAGTCATGAAATCAAACAATGTACCCCAGTGGGCAAATCTGCTGCAAAAGATCCCTTTAAAGTACTAAGAAGCAAAGATGTCACTCTGAGGACTAAGGTGAGCCTGACTCAGGACAATAAATAAGAAACACAGAAGAATTGATGGATTTGAGTTACGGTGTTGGCAAAGAATATTGAAAGTACCATGGACTGCCAGAAGAACAAACAAATATGTTTTGGAACAAATAAAGTCAGAATGCTCCTTAGAAGCATAAGGCTTTGTCTCTCATGCTTTGGACATGTGATCAGGAGGGACCAGTCCCTGGAAAAGGACACCACGCGTGGCAAAGTAGAGAGTCAGCGAAAAAGAGGAAGAATCGCAATGAGAGGGATTGACACAATGGCCTCAGAATGAGCTTAAATTTAACAACAACTATGAGGCTGGCACAGGACCAGAGCAGTGTTTTCTTCTATTTCTGGAGTGGGTAAGACTTGTAACCAACTCAACAGCACCTACCAACAACAACTGTGGTAACGAAGAACAAAGGTAATCCAGACCAACCTTTCAGAAGAAGATACCAAAAAAGCATCTGGACAAGATAGTCATTAAAGCAATAAAGATTTAATAAGATCGTGAGAAATCACACGGACCACAAGGACCCAGAGGCGAGGCTCTAACTTGAAGTCCCTTCAGCACTGCAGCATTTGTGGTCTTAAGGAAACAGCTGATGGTTTATCAATCTCAAGTGCAAAGAAACGAAAAGTCCATGCCGTGAGGTCGACCCAAGGTGGGGAGTCTTGTGACCCATTTCACTCACACCCCAAAGATCCACATGCTCCAGTTGAACCAGCGTGGTACTATGTACTCAAGAATTATTGTGTTTCTTATGATTATTCATTTCAACCCAATGCACCCTCCTGATCTGCCAGGGTCCTCCCAGTGGGCAAAGACACAGACTGGCCTGTCCGTCTTAAGATGGGAAATGATGTCTGTTGGTTAGATGCTTGCAGAAGCACATTACAGGCGAACTGCTTTATGTAACAATTGCTGTTACTCATGCTGAGGATTTCTTTGATGGCAAGTTCTTTTAGGAACACAGACTCAGGCTGCTACTGTGTGCCTCTGGGAACACACAATTCCCTGTGTGACAATCAGCTCTGTCCACAGTTTATGGGCTCACGTGGCAGCTGAAAATGAGTCCTGCCTCTGTAAATGCGTATCTGTGAAACGTTCTGTTTAAGCAACCGCATTGCTAAGCAGGAAGTCTGCAATCCAAAAATCCGAGTTCAAGCTTCTGTTTGACTATTCACAAGCTTTGCAACCCTAGGCAAATCACCCGCGTTGCCAAATCTCATTGCCTTCTCCTATGAAACGTGGGTAACAGTGGTATTAATAACACTATGCACGGGACTCAGGTAGGCACCAGGAGATGCTAAATACTGGGCCTGGTACCTAGCAACTGCTGAGAGTGTGACTCATGTTGTTGTTGTTGTTTTGAGTTGATTTTCGACTCATACCAACCCACCCCAGGTGACAGAGAAGAATTGTCTCACAGGGTTATCTACGGTGTCAAGAAATCAAACGACGTATTGCATTAGGCAAATCTATTGTACAAGACCTTTTTAAAGCGGTGAAGAGCAAAGATGTCAGCTTGAGGACTAAGGTGGGCCTGACCCAAGCCATGGTATTTTCAATAACCTCATATGGATGCGAAAGCTGGACAGTGAATAAGGAAGATCGTAGAAGAATTGATGCATTTGAATGATGGTGTTGGAGGAGAATATTGAAAGTGCCATGGGCTGCCAAAAGAACCAACTGATCTGTGTTGAAAGAAGTGCAGCCAGAGTGCTCCTTGGAGGACAGGATGGCCAAACTTCACCTCTCATACTTCAGACATATTGTCAGGAGGGACCAGTTGCTGGAGAAGGATATCATGTTTGGTAAGGTGGAGGGTCAAAGAAAAAGAGGAAGACCCCCAGCAAGATGGACTGGCAAAGTGGCAGTATCAACGAGGTCAAGCGTGGCAACAATCGAGAGGTTGGCCCAGGACTGGGCAGTATTTCGTTCTGTTGTGTATAGGGTTGCTATGAGTCAGTGTGGACTCGATGGCACCTAACAACAACAACAACAACCACACAGAAGCAGGTCTCAGAATTGCTCTCCCTTGGAACCACTGGCAAGTTAAAACCACAACCTTTCAGTTAGGTGTCAAGCGTTTAACTGTTGTGTCACTAAGGTTCCTTGCTAAGTGCTTAATGGTGTTGTTGCTGTTGTTAAGGGCCTTCAAGTCAGTTCTGACTCATAGCAACCTTGTACAAGGTTTCTCAGACGCAGCTGGTGAGTCTGAACCACCAACCTTGTGATTCAAACCGACCTTGTGGTCCAGGGCTTCATCCCACAGAGCCACCCAAGTGCTTAATAAATGGTTATATTACTGAAGGATAAACAATGAACCACAAGGTCAGTTTGAACCACATGATCAGCAGTTCAAACTCACCTGCCACTCCACAGAAACCCTATACAGGGTTTCCTGTGAGTCAGAACTGACTCGATGACACTTAATGACACCATTACTAATATTAGCAGAAACATGATCCTAGACACCACAACTTTGAGTAATAGAGATTCAGTAACAGCAATGGTAATGTTGTTGTTGTTAAGTGCCATCAAGTTGGTTCCGACTCATGGCAACGCTATACAGGGTTTCCCAGGCTATAAGTCTTTGTGGGAACAGAAAGCCTCATCTTTCTCCCATGGAGAGACTGGTAGACTGAATCACTGACCTTGTGGTCTGCAGTCCAGTGCTTATCCTACAGAGCCACCATGCCCCCTGGTAATGGTGATAGTTAATGATATGTAGCTATAGTGATAGTTGTACAAAGTGGGCCTGAGTTTGTCCAGGAACTAGAAAAATGCCTTCAAGCATCCTCAGGCAACTAACTAACAACTGACTAGTATTTATTAATGAGCTCTGGTAGCGTAGTGGTTACGAATTGGGCTGCGAACTGCAAGGTCAGAAGTTCGAAACTACCAGCTGTTCTGCAGGAGAAAGATGAGGCTTTCTATTCCCATAAAGATTTACAGCCTCAGAAACCTGTACAGGGTCGCTATGAGTTGGAACTGACTCCATGACACATAACAACAACAACAATTTATTAAAGAGTCTTGGTGTGGTGGGTAAACACTGGACTGCTAACCAGCAGTTCAAACCTACTCATCAGAATCCCTATACATTGTTGCTCTAAGTCAGAACTGACTCAATAGCTCTTAACAAAAACAGTAGAGGCAAGGTTTGGAGTCCTGGCATGGCACTGTAGAATAAGCATTGGACTGCTAACCATAAGGTTTAGGGTTTGAGTCCACTAGCAGCTTCTTGGAACTTCTATAAAGGGTAGCTGTCAGTACGAACTGACTCAATGGCACTTAGTAACAACAAGAACAGAGGTAAGGTTTGGCGTCTTGGTGTGGTGCTGTAGGATAAGCACTGGACTGCTAACGTAACAACAACAAAATTAATAATAGAAGCCTTGTTGGCATGGTGGTTTAAGAGCTTGACTGCTAACCAAAAGGTTGGTGGTTTGCACCCCCCAGCCCCCTGACTGTGGCTGTCTGCTTCCATAAAAGGAAGTCTTGGAAACCCTGTGGCGCAGTTCGAGTCTGTCTTACAGGGTCACTGTGAGTCAGAATCGACTCGACAGCAGTGGGTCACGGGGGTTTGTTGTTTTTATTTTATTACATTACCATGAGCCAGCGGGCCTACTGTTTGTTACATGCTCTGGACATAAAGGCCTTGACCCCTACCCCAGAAGCCCCTAGGTCTAGATGACCATTACTGTGGATTCCAACTCACAGCAACCCAATGAAACCACATAGAACTGCTCTGAGGGCTTTTCAGATCGTAATTCTTTATTGGGGCAGACGGCTTCAGCGCTCTCCTTTGAAGCAGCTGCTTGGTTTGAACTGCCGACCCTTCAGTTCGATGTTTAATGCTTAACCCACTGCACTACTAGATAACAAATCCACACCCAAAGCTGAGGGAAGAGAAGAGCCACTAAAAAAAGGAAGCAGTGTCCTATTTAGGGAGCAGGACGTGGGTGGGAAGGCTCAACCACATGGAGGGTGGGGATCTGGTCTCACGTGGCAACCCCAGGCAGCCCCTCAAGCAGGAAGGGCATAGTCAGGTGGCTGGGCCAGGGCTTGTGTCTCCCGCCTCCCTGACAGGTGAACCCACTCACTCTCTCTGACGTCTTCCTGGGCCACATGGGCGCTCTGACCATCACTGGCAGCCTTCTCAAAGCTCCTGGTCCTTGCACCTTTTCTGTTGCTGTTTTGTCCTGCAAAGAAAGAGAGACTGCTTTATGCCCATGTGCATCACTGGTGGGAACTCCTTCATCTCCCCTCTGAAAGTCAGCAGTCCCCACCCTTGGCCTCCCAAAGGAAACACCACCAAAACATTCACACCACACCCCCGGCTGTCAAGTCGCTTCTGACTCGTGGTAACCTCATGACACGTAGAGTACAACTGTGCACCACGGCATGCTGTTGGCCGTAATCTTCACACAACCTTGTTTGCAGAAAGCGATGAGGACTTGAAGTGCTTACTGATGAAAATCAAAAACTACAGTCTTTAGTATGGATTACACCTCAACCTAAAGGAAATGAAGATCCTCACAACTGGACGAACAAACAACATTATAAAAACAGAGGGAAAACTGAAGCTGTCAAGGATTTAGTTTTACTTGGATTCACAATCAAAGCTCATGGAAGCAGCAGTCAAGAAATCCACAACAGACTCCTGTGAATCCGGGTGGAGACCTGGATGGCCAGCAGAGACTCCTGGGCCCAGAGGAAATGACATGGCCACAGAGGACTAGAGCGGGGTGTGAAGCATTCAGCTGATATGAAGTGAGGGGAGAT